CTTTCTAACTCTCTACTTTTTAGTAAATGTGTCTTTTGTTTGTACTGTCTTTTGAATACCGAATGAATATGTGTGTAATATATATCATTAGTTTCATGCTATACAGATATACATACAGCATGGAAAGAAAGTTTTTTAATAAAAATCTATTTTTTTTAATTTCTTCCAACATTTCGCCATACAGATTCTCACAAATTCTAAAATATGATGAAATACTAGTATACGTACAGAATTTCGGCCGATCGCTAATCTCTGGCGCCGCTGGCAGCAAAAGCAGCCAGTGGGCAAATAGTTATGAATTCTAATAAATTTTACACCTCTTTCCCTGTTTAGAAAATAAGGTTTGACATACATATTTGCTGTTAAATATATAACTTTTTTTGCAAAATAGGGTGTGAGTTACCTTTTTTGCTGTCCTGTTTTATATAAATACAAAGATAAATATGTCCATCATTCCATAAACTATGAACACGTACAGATTAGAAAGAGGATATTTTTGTTTTTATTTCAGACCAGAATTTATCACCAAGTTGACGCTGGAGAGACCAATTTCAAGAAGCCAGCTCAACAGCGCAATATTTGAAAACACAGCAGAATGTGTGCTAGCTGATTCTCTGGAAAATAAATATATCGCATATAATTAATAAACATATTATTGTGAAAAAATAAATATTCATTGAAATAAATAGGAAATACAACTGTTCAAAGATTGTTGCAATTATGTATTTAACAAGCTCACAGCTGTGAGTTATATGCTTATATTAAGAGCGTGATTTTCACAAGTGACATTGGGTCACTGGCATCTTTTTCTATCTTTCGACCTGTGATTGCCCAGGATTCTGCCTTGTTATAGTTCTCACTTTAAGTCTATATCTATCCTTCCATCTCTCTTCCTGTGACTTGCACACATTCTGTCCCTTCTGACTCATCTTCTTCATGATTGTTTAAAACTTAACTGGTCCAGTAACTCAAGTCTTTTCTCCTTAAATTATTGCTTGACAAATTTCACCTGCCATTGTAGGAAATTTGAAAATGCGTATACACAAACTCCCAGAATTACAATTAATGATTATTTCCCCAGAAAACCTTAAACCTGACTATGCCTTCCTGATTTTTCTGTCTGTCTGTCTCTTTTTCTCTCTCTCTCCTACTGTCTCTCTCTATTACGGCTTTCATCATGCTTTGTTATTCTAAAGACATGCAAAGCATCAAGCAAGTTGTAGTTCTACAACCCATTGGGATCTACCTTTTGGGCACCCCTTTTCTATGGATTGCAAATCAATTATATATGTACATAGTACTTTCCCTTTTCTCATTCCCTTTTTTCTTTTGCAATTTATTTGTTGCTATTCCCCATAATTCTAGTGTACGGCTTATGATTGTATAAAAACAAACAATAAAAAAAAGATGTGTTTCTCCCTCAGTTTGCATCAGCTTTTTATCAAATCAAAAATGTGCATTTCATCCATTAAACATAAAGTTGAACTTACTTCCCCTAACACTGTAACCACACCTTAAAAATTGTTGTGTCTATCCACATGTTTCTTTAACACATCAACTATTTCCAGTAAGTGCAAACATTAGTAGCATTAACAACCACTCGGTATATATTTTTAGAAATCTTAGATTTTTATAACTTTTCACTAAATATGTTTTGCAGATTTAATTTTACATATTGGATTGCTTTGTTAAACCTTACACACGATTTTGATGACACAGTATTATAACACTATAAAATATTCATCTGATTCCACACAAAATTAAAGACCATGCGTACCCGCCAGATGTTTTTAAAATATCCATTTAGTGAGGCTTAAAGTCACTTTATTTTATTGTCTATATGTTAAAAAGATTAGTATTTACGAATGAAAACATCAAATTGTAAACAACACAAAAGTTGCGAAGTGATTTTTTTATACAGCAGTTTGAAACTTGAGATAATAGCACTGGTACACTGGACGCCAATTGAGCTTCTGCAAAAATGTGATTAAACCATGGTTTATTGAAGAGAATACTGTCAGCGGCATTTAGAATTTGCTGAAATGGGATAATGGGAAGGTCAAAGACAAAGGAGCTGTAAAAGTCAAGCCTTGTGGAAATATCGAAAACAAGTTTAAAAAAAATTAAAATAGATAAGTAAGTGGAGAAAGAGGTAAGTGGATGGATTTATGGGGGATACTATAACTGGGAGTTAATGAAGGTGAAAAAATAATGCTTACTTGGCCAACTGTGCACACCAATGAATTGCAGAGCTCAATAGTAAATAGGTCAGATGATGTGTTCAAAAATGTGGACAGAAAATAAGCAGTAGGAATACTGATGATGTTGAGTGTATTGAATTCTTTTGATTGATAAATAGCTAAGTGCCAACAAAATTGTAGACAGACCAAACACTATGAAATTTTCCCCAGGGCAAATAGAAACATTAATGTTGTGCATCACTTGCATATCTTTTTAAATATTTTAAACATTCAAACTAAGGATAAAGTCAAAGAATTTAAGTAAAGAAAAAAAAAGGAAAAACTATTTTTCCTTGACCCTCCACAATAAGGCATACATATATGAAGAAAAAAGTAGACACCAAATATGAACATGACATTACTGCAACGTTAGCATATACAAATGGAAATTTAGAAAATATCCCACATTATTTGAACAGCGACAAATCATGAAATGAAAAATGAAAATCGAATTTAGAAAAAGCTTGATCATATATCAAGTTGGATCTTAGAGAGTCCCGCTTGGACACACAAACTCAAGAAATCATATTTCCACTACTATTTTTGTTGACACCAAGAGAGACATAAATGATAAAGGAATCCTTCATTTTAGAAGAGGTGTCCACACAACTCAGGGGATTAACCCATTAAATATGACAGAAAAAAAAGGTTCTATAGTATATAAAACGTATTACATCTTTAAAAAAATTGTATTAGAAAAATGACTTCATAAAAAAAAAAATGTTCCTAATCAGATCACCCTCAACTGTTATACAGGATCGTGAAATGTCTAATTTCACTGTTGCGCAATGTCAGTTAAACATATGTGAATTTCCATGTACAAATATTCATAACCTAAATCAGTTTCTGTAGTGCCTTCAAATAGTCAAGAAAGTCCTACAGTAGAGACCGCTGACTATTGAGGTGATACCCTTGAATGGCCACTAGGGGTCTCAGTTCCATAAAAACGTAATTTTATAAATAGTGATGTCCCGAACGGTTCGCCGCGGACTCATCATTGAGTAAACTTTGACCCTGTACCTCACAGTCAGCAGACACATTCCAGCCAATCAGCAGCAGACCCTCCCTCCCAGACCCTCCGTTCGGCGAACCGTTCGGGACATCACTATTTATAAATTAACATTTTAACTTATAATGGAAGCCTGAGGAACAAATAAAGAACATAGCAGTAAAGATAAAAGATCCCATTAATGTACACATATGAGGATAGCAGAGTATCCAGTACCAAAATATACACATATCCAAACACCATGTAAGCTAATGGCTCCTCCCTATTGTTTCACTGGGATAATAGAGGAGAAAGTTTTGGTATCCCAATTTATTTGCCAGATATACAGTAACAAAATTACTGGTGATCCAAAAATGAGAAGAGAGGGAAAAGGTTAAATAATAGCAAGTCAACTTAACAGTACGCACACTTGTCGCTCGTTTCACTCGCTACGCCAGGATCATCAAGGTGTAAAAAAATATTTGAAATTTAAAATAACTTCCCTTAATATGAAGGGGTATATCTCAAGATTTTTCTCCAACTGCAAAAATATACAGAAGAGGGGATAATGAGGATAGAACACTGATAGAAAAAAAAGGCATCACTAGTACACAAATATACAGATATTTTTGTTTTTATCTTCCGTTTTTTTCAGTCTCTATTGTTCAGGTTTCTATCTATCATCTTACACTTTATGTTCTATATCTTCACTTACTTTGCCTTATTTTAATCTTTTATACTTGTTTCTTTGTATTTATTTTAATTATGTTTTAGCTTAAATGATGCTTTAATTTTTTGTACAGGTTGACAGTATACTTTTCCTTATTTGATAAACCTTATTTTGTATACATAATTTATTTTGCAGATCTTTTATCATGACCATTAGAAAGAGAATTTTGACAGATCCTTTTTTAATACTTTTATTTATGATGTTTTATGATATGCTTTTATTATACATGTATTCTTTTGCTCAGTAATATATTAGTTATAACATATATCTAGATGGTATCCTCCTTTTGATGTTATCTATGCGTATATGTTTTTGTCCTTAGCTCCTATCTTGGTTAGTATCTGTGTAGCTATGTCTTAGCAGGTTGCATTGTATCTTGTTATCTTTTTGCTTTTTATCTGTGAGAGGTCACTTTATAGTACTAAGCTCCCACCTTTGTATGTATTTTACCTTTCTATACTCTTACTGTGTTTATTTCCTCACGATCATTTGTTTTTATCTTTATATGTGACTAATATTTTCACTATTACTTGACTGTATGCACACAGCACGTTCACATTTGTATAATTATTTCCATGCTGTATATATATATATGCACTCACATGTGTTAGAGCAATGGTGCAATGAAAGGTAGACCCCCAAAATGTTGTAGAACTACAACTCCCATGATGCTTAGCATACCTTTAGAATGCTTTAGAATGACAAAGCATCATGAAAGCTGTGATTTTAAAACTCTGGGGATCTTTTGGGCTCCCTTGTTTTAGAGCACTGTTCAGTTGGTTGACCTATCTCTTAGTAACTGATCCCGGCATTCACATATGCACACACGTGCACACATCTCTCTCTAATATATATATATATATAGACTGGCGAGAGACCAGTCTAACCGCTCCACGAGGCTGTCAACCGGCTTCAAGTTCCTACCGCTCCACGAGCTGTCCCCTCGGTGGAAACAGTGAGTTTTCTCACGGGCGCTTCAAACGCCACGTGTAAACGTCAATCAGGAAACCCCTTCCCCCCTCAGGCTCCCCGGCATACGAGTGGTTACTAAGACCCCCCACATACTCACTGGGGGCACGGCACATATAGCGTCCCCTGTCATACTTCAGCATACCGGCTTCTGAATTTCTGTTCCCATTCACACACAGGTATACTTACGTGCGCTCTGTTTCACCATTATATTCAGGGCTGCACTCAGCTGTTTAGTTCAAAACGCTGCTTTTTCCCGCAGGCAGGCTGTTTAACTATTGGTATGCCGTTCAGTCAGTATGGGTGGCTAAATATCGCCACCTTGTGGCTGCATTCATTATGGCTGGTTTCATTCATTAAGTTTATGGCTTACAATGTATTTGTGCATCTATAATTTTAAGCTATATTAATATACTAATAAAAGGTGTTTTTAAACTGTCTATGATGGAAATTCTGCTACTCTTTCATAATTACAATTCTTGTTGAGTTCATTGTGTTTTAGAGGGTATAGTATGCCATACTATTTGTCAGCACATTACTTGCCCACCGGCCGACAGTCAGTTTTCTACCTTAATTCATCATCATACTTATGCTGTCATAAATTGCGCTTTATACTATCGGGATTATTCAATCACCTACTCGCGAGTTTCAAGTCTCCATGCACTTAAAATCCATGTTTAACCCCTGCACTACCTTCATGCACTTCACAACGGTTGGTGTTCTATTAATTATGCTTATAATTAGGCTTATAATGTGGCTACATATATAGGTTCATTACTATGTACTATCAATAAAGGTACTTAAGTGTCTCTAGCCTTATACAGAAAGGTTTTCGGTCTCGTGCATTTTCGTCTTACTTACTTCACCTTACAATGTTGTCTATATATCATTTGCTTCATATATATCCTTTTTCCTCTCTGTTAAGAAACACTATATACGACACTAAGTACAATCGGCTTTGGTTAAAAGCATCTTCTACAGTGTTAAAGGTTCAGGCGATCACCCGCCAAATCTTCATAAATCTTTTCAAACGCATACGGTTAGTATTTCAATCTTTTGCTTAACAAATAATCATTTGTAACAGATGCTTCCAGGGTTAGGTGATAATTAAATTTTATAAAATGTTTTAGGTTCTTATAAGGATTGTTCTCAGCTTCAGTATACATCAGACAAGTCTTTATCAGGTATGTATACCGTTCAAACCCAGGCAAGGCTACCAGTAGCGTTTAAACTCTCGTCAAGTTAGGTAACATCCCATAGGCTTATTCGCCTAGCAGTCAAGTGTCCCGCAAGGCATACTATTCAACCGTTACGTTCGGAGGTCCGCGCCAATCATCCCAGTTCATAGGTAGAGCCTTGCACCAACTCTCAGTTAGGGCCTCACCAGTCACGGCCAATCGTTATTTTCTCTGTTAAACATCACCGAGAGGCCAACACCCCGCCACCCACCTCAGTGGCACAAAGGCCCCACGAGCCAAATCATAGATAGAGCCTCTCATAGCCACTTGGCAAGTAGTCAGGGCTTCACCTGTCACCAACCTGAACTAGTTAATACAATTTCGCCAGTAGGCACTAGCATAGTAAGCTGAGTCAATACCATTCCATATGGTAACATACTAACATTACCCATCTAACTTACTTCCGTAGCATGTCTAACGAATCTACTCAAGGAGATGATCTGTCGGTGGCCAGCACCCCACTAAGATCACGCTCACAGAGAAGAACCAGTCCACCAAGCCCGGCTTCCAGCTATCGTTCCTGGACTATCCCTAAGATCACCTCTGAACTTAAAAAGAGGAATATTCATTTCCCAGCGACAGCAAGGAAAGCCGAACTGTTTAGATTGTTAAATGTTACTGAGGACAGCGAAAGGCCAGGCCCCAGTTCTGCTTTCAACGTGCAAAATAGCATGGCAGAATTACACAGCATGATGGCCTCCCTCGTTTCCTCAGTAGCAACTATTAATAATAGATTGGACAATATGGAGTCAAACAGTATCACTACCATGCCAGAGATTCCAGTAACAGTTACTCAGCCTACCACTAGCTCAGGAGGTAAAGATAACCCTCCACCAGCTAGAGCTAGAGCTACTAATATCATTAACCCCATCCATCTTATTCCTCAGGCTCTAAGACGGGACATTACTGAGGGGAAAGACATAAATTTAGCATCACTACTGATTGCTTCTCAAGACGTGGTAGAAAACAGAGCCTATACCTTCGAGGATCTGTCGGTAGTGATGAAGTCTAGAGACCCTAGACTAAATAGAAAGCTCAATATTCCCGAATTTGTCATCGCATTCGGACTGTACAGAGATGTGATTTGTACAACCTTCCCTCTCCGTAGAGAGGAACTTGACTTATATCTGCATAAGGTGGTTGAGTTAGCATACAAGTACGGCGGCTATGCATTTTACGACTATCATAAGTCTTTTTCTTCCAGATCCGCTGCATCTCTCTCCCAGTATAATACGGTTACCGATTGGGCTCAGCTAGATAGAGAATTATTTCTAATGCATTTTGCAGGCCTTAAAACCCCGTCCTGTGCTATTCTGCAGCTCATTCGGTAAACTTTTGTCCTGAAAACCTAGCATCCTCTTCTACCAGTAGCGCCAATACCGGATACCAATCAAATACATCACAGAGGGAAGTGAGGGACAAACTTGGTAGGCCTATTGTTTTTCTAGGTAAAGCACAAGTCTGCAACAACTTTAATACGGGAGGATGCAGCTATAGAGCTTGTAGGCTGTTGCACGTATGCTCTATGTGCCAAAACAATGTGCCCCAACAGACTGTACCCTAACAAATCATCCACAACAATAAACATACCTAAGTTGCAACGCTACCTGTCTAATCATCCTTCTCTTCATTTGGTTGAATTTCTCACAAATGGTTTCACTAATGGGTTCCATACAGGGTTTGTGTCACTCCCTACAGGCGTCTTAGAATGCCCCAACTTACAGTCGGCAGTCACAGACCCAGACAGCATACGCGAACTATTACAGAAGGAACTCACAAATGGTTTTATGATAGGCCCTTTCACCACTCCTCCTTTCACTTCCTGGAGAACAAACCCACTAGGGATCGCCACAGGTAAATATAACAATAAAAAGCGACTGATTATTGACTTCTCTGCACCACACTCATCCTCCACACCCAGCCTAAATGCTCTGATCCCGTCAGCTGACTTTTCCCTACAATACGCCAGAATTGACGATGCCATCCAAGCAATCCTTCATAACGGGAAGGCCGCTTGGTTAAGCAAGTCCGATATCACAAATGCATTTAAACTACTTCCCATCCACCAGTCACTCTGGCATCTGCATGGAGTTAAGTGGGAAGGAAGCTACTATTTTGCGACAAGACTCACCTTCGGATCCAAAAGTAGCCCCAAATTGTTCGATATATTTGCCGAAACTTTAACCTGGCTCCTACTCAACTCCTGCAGATGTCCAATAGTCATTCATTACCTAGACGACTTCCTCACTATCGAACCCCATCAGCACACACCCCACAGCCTTAAGCACATGCTCACTCTTTTCAAAGACTTAGGAGTCCCTGTGGCACAAGACAAAACTGAAGGTCCCAACACGGTCATCACATTCCTGGGTATTACACTTAATTCAGTTTCTATGCAAGCCAGCCTGCCTCAAGAGAAAGTAGACCGGATACTGTCATACATAAACACTTGCACATCACAAGGCACCTGCTCAAGGAAACAACTACAGTCACTACTTGGTTCACTAAATTTTGCTATGAGGATAATTCCTCAGGGAAGGTCGTTCATATCCAGAATCCTCTCACTATTACACGGCCTCCCCGACGACGACTCCACTACTTCCCTGAACGAGTCAGCTAGAGCTGATCTACAAATGTGGCAGCAGTTCCTATCCTCTTGGAATGGCAGGTCGCTATTTGTTCCACCAATTTCTGACGATTCCCCTGTAATCTGGACCGATGCTTCAGGGGCATTAGGGTATGGGGATTTTTTTGGGGATGAGTGGCTATATGACTCATGGCCAGTGGAGACCCTCTCACTCGACAGTTTCAATACCACCTCGGCTCTATTCGAGATTTATCCCATAGTGGCAGCCGCACACGTCTGGGGTAAAGAGTGGAGAGGACAGTCAGTTAGATGCTTTTCGGATAACATAGCTACCTGTGATATAGTAAACAAAGGTCGCTCTCAGTCCCTAACTATTATGAATTTAATAAGGAGACTGACTTGGCTAGCGGCTAACCTGCAATTCAGCATTACATGTTTTCACGTTCCGGGTGTTCAAAATAACGCTGCTGATGCTCTCTCACGCTTGAATTTGCAGGCGTTTTTCAAGTTTCATCCATCAGCAAACCCTCAACCCAGGGGATCTCCAAGCTTCACATAACTAATAATGCCTTAAGTTCTCTGTTAAAGCAAAGTAGATCTCTCACGCAAGCAGGCTTGTCCGCTAACACAAGGAAAGCCTACTCTAGAGCTTACAATTTGTTTAAGGATTTTGTTCGTGATTATCATATAATAAATGCTTTTTCTGTTGAAACTATTGTTGTGTTTACAACTTTTTGCCATATTTCTCTTAAATTAGCTTACAACACTATCAAACTATACTTAACAGGCATTCAACACTACATGTTAACCAGCCATCCCAACAAATCTCCATTCCTATCCTCCTACCCAGTTAAAAGTGTCTTAAGAGGCGTTCACAGATTATCTACACATGTCCCCATCAAGAGACTTCCCATAGACAGTGAACTGTTTAAAAGTATTTCCGATATCCTCGACACCTCCCCTTTTGAACACATCACAAACCTAATTATTAAATCAGCAGCTTACTTAGCTTTCTATGGGTTTTTGAGACCCAAAGAATTTTCAGTGGAAAAAACAACCGATTCTAAACTTTGCCTCCAAAAGAGACACCTAATCAAGAAACAAGACCACTACATCTTATCTATTGCCCATACCAAGACAAGCCAAACAGGGCCTCTGGTAGAAATTAAATACTATCCTACCTCTACCAAATGGTGTCCTATCCTAGTTTTAGATAAACTACTGATATCCCAAAGTTCTTCTCATCCGTGTTCTCCACTGCTAGCTATTCAAGGTAAACCCCTTACCACCAAACTGTTTATGTATTACATCCGTACATTATTGGTTCGGCTAGGACATAACCCAAACGCTTTCACAGGTCATTCCTTTCGCATTGGTGCCGCCTCAGCTGCCTCAGGTAACCAAGTACCTACACACATCATTAAAAACATGGGTAGATGGAAATCATCTGCTTACAATAGGTACATTCCTAACCCTGAAAAAGAAATACGTGTGGCTTTCCATGATATGTCTAAATAATGTTTGTATTTAATAAATAAGTTTATATGTATTTTGAGTATCGCTTCTAATTTATTTTGCCCTCTTTTACAGGCCTAAACCTCACGTCAGTTTCCGCACACCTCAACTGACTTGCTACTTCTCTTACTGCTTCTTTTACTATCATTGCCTAACGTCCTCGTAATGTGCCGTACACAAATAGAAGGCTTGGCCTGGAATTGTGGGAGGTACATTTTAGCCCTATATAAACTACAAACAAACCCAGCTTACCTGTCATCGACGTTCCCGGAAGTGCCCCTCCCACCGCACCCTCAATTCATTTACATTTATACTAGGTGGGCCCTCTTTTACAGGCCTAAACCTCACGTCAGTTTCCGCACACCTCAACTGACTTGCTACTTCTCTTACTGCTTCTTTTACTATCATTGCCTTACGTCCTCGTAATGTGCTGTACACAAATATATATATATATATTTATGGTCGTGGCATCAAAAGCTGTAATGAGCATATTAGAAGTAGGTATGTAATGTACTTATATGAGTACTATAGTAATATAAAAAAAATATGAAAAAGTCGGTTTTGGTGTTCCGGACCGACGATGCGGTAGGCCTGTAATAAAAAGAGGGCAAAAAGAGTATACCATACAGAATTATACAGCCTACAAATCAAGCATATTACAATACATTACATATATATGTTATGGAAGATGTGACATATTTAAGAACAGGTTGATATATATATCTGGAGTAAGCGGATGCCGGAGATGGCTCTATCTATGCATTGGGGATTTTGTGACCAACGAATGTTGTGGAGGGGTGTCGGCCCCTCAGTGACTTTTAAAGCATAAGATAGAATGGGAGTGACAGGTGAGTCCCTCTCTATGCCACCATGCAAAGACGAATAACTATGATTTGGCCTGATGGGCGCAGTACCTCCAAATATGAGGATGGGTGTTGGCCTGGCATAGAGCCCTTACAAAGTATAAGCTAGTGGGGTCCTGGTGCACTGTTAGCCAGTAATGAAACTAACTAAGGGAGGCAGGGGAAGATATTGAATAAGTACGTGTAATTTGTCGTATCTGAGAATGAGTAGTCAGAATGCGGTATGACACAGAAGGTGGATTGGCTCAGACCTACAGGGGTAATGTGATTTGTTGGAATTGTGGTATGTTATGTATAAGTAGATATCCTGGTCTGCCTTACAGGATACATAACAAAGTAACGTACAACCATAAGTAGGAGGTTGTGCAGTAAATCGTAGATACCAGATACCTAGCACCTAAAGATACAATGATGTAATGTACATGAGTGGGATGTAATGTAACTTGTGGATCCAACCGCATAATCTATAAAACCTACCTAATTATGGTAGTATAAGGGATATGATGAATAATGTTGCCCTAAAATGCTGAGTACTCCATAACCTGTAATAACCATGTCATCACTAATTCCCTTGATACGAATATCCTCTAACCCATGACCTATATGTAAGAAAAAAACAGATACAAGTGAAAGCAGCAGTCCTAATAATGAACCTAAAGATATAATGAATTATGTGAGGAGTATGTGCGTGGCCCTGCCCGGGACCTCCTCGAGTGTAGAACAGATTTAAGATAAAACAGCAGTGCTGTTAAGGGACATAAAAGTGGTAACATAGTTAAGAGAGTATACTATACACTTGAGTAGAATTGAGGCAAGCAGTGAAGGAAGCCACCATAACAGGTGAATTAGGATAAGGATCCTAAACTTAGTTAAATAATTATACACCAAGGCATTAATTAAGGTAACTTACTATACAGAACCAGTGCTAAAATCTAATCCCCAGTTAAGTGTTAAAGACCCGGTCTCCATTGAATATAGAAACAGATACAAGAAATCGTAGTCATACGTTAGAAATGGAGCTCCAATGCAGAGCGCTCTGTGGATCTGAACCAAATACAATACATGTAATACTGCATCCGATTGCTATGATATGAATATAATATATACACGTATAAACCTACCTAATTGATTCTTGTGACAGAACCATCTGTCTATGGATTATTTTTATTTTCCCTCGATTCATATGTTTGTTTGGCTATTTCCCTGTCCGTACAGTCCCCCCGTT